AGGCCAAGATGTCTGGCCAGGGCTTATCAATCACAATCCCTCTTTGGACCCATGCATTCCAACCGCTCCCCACACCCGAAGCGACGCTACCGAGCAGATTCCTATCGCTGACGACTGTTGTCGGGGTTATCAGCACCACTTTCCGAAAGGCGCGTCCTTGCGCCCTTGCGCTGGAGCGGTCGATTTGTCATGCAAACAGGATCGGGGTCATGGCTAGATTCCGCCCGTCGGAGCTGGGCTGAAGGAGGCGCTCGATAGGTCTGCCTAAGTCCGCCCCGTTCTCGATTGTCCCTTTGGACCCTACCACGTATTAGACACATGGCCCAATAGTATCAGGCTCCATACACGCTGGTGTGCTGAGTAGAGCTGTGCCCAAAAACACTTCGATCCCGCACAGGCAGACCGTCAACCCCGTCCACCTCCTCCCCATACCCCACGCCATCATGGACCAGACAGCGCAACCCGAGGCGTCCCTGAGCGGCGGAGAGAAACCTCTGCCGCGGGACATGAGCCACCACTTCTCCCATATGACCTGGAACCGCAAGCCTAACCCCATGAAAGCCTTCTATAAGTTCTTTAGCATTCCTGGCATCGGCAATTTTGCTGGAGGTAAGGGGACACCGCCCCGCCGTTTCCGTCGCTCCCGATCCCGTAGTCCTGGACCCATGGCGGTGGAGCTCCCCGTGAGCTTGGTTTTTTCCCAGAACCCGGAAACGCTGACATGTCGCGTGCGCTCCCACCGCAGGCCTCCCCAACGTGAGCTACTTCCCCTTTGACACCCTCGAGGCCCAGACGGCGAAGCCCGAGCGCTGGACGCCGACCCTGAACGACCCGAGCGACCCGAATGCCGCCGCCGAGAGCCCCCGCGGCTGGGGCGCCGCGGCCCCGGCGCACATCACGGTGCCCAAGTCGGCCGCCGGGCCGGACCCCATGAAGAAGATCGACCTGGCGACGGCGCTGCAGTACGGCCTGGCCCAGGGCTACCCGCCCCTGCTGTCGTGGGTGCGGCAGTTCACGCGCGAGCACCTGCACCCCAACGTCCCGTACCGCGACGGGCCCGAGGTCCTCCTGACCGTCGGCTCGACCGACGGCTTCAGCAAGACGGTCGAGCTGCTCATCAACCCCTGGTCCGAGCATCGGGGGGACGACCCGCGGGACCGGCCCGGCGTGCTCTGCGAGCGCTTCGCATACAGCCCCGCCCTGGGGCAGGCCCAGGCCAAGGGCGCCCAGGTCGTCGCCGTCAATGCCGACTCGGGCGGCATGTGCGTCGACGGGCCAGGAGGGCTCGAGGACGTGCTTGCCAACTGGGACGAGAGCAAGGGGAGGCGGCCGCACCTCATGTACACCGTCACCATGGGCCACAACCCCACGGGCATCGTGCTCAGCGTCGAGCGCCGCAAGGCCATCTACGAAGTCTGCTGCAAGTACGACGTCATCATCGCCGAGGACGACCCGTACTGGTACATGCAGTTCCCCTCTGCCGAGATCGAGGAGGCCAAGAGCAGGGGCAAGCCGGCGCCAGAGACGAGGCCGGCGTACCAGCCCGAGAAGTCGTCGGGGTTCCCGTTCCTGGACTCGATGGTGCCGTCCTTCCTCAACTTTGACGTCGAGGGCCGCGTCATCCGCCTCGACACCTTTTCCAAGACGGTCGCCCCTGGCTGCCGGCTGGGCTGGGTCACTGCGCAGCCAGCGATCGCCCAGAAACTGATAACGTGAGTGGCCCGGACCCCCTTCACCTCGTCTTCCCCGGGTATAGTCGCTAACCTATCCCTCTCCTTCTTCTGCAGTATCAGCGAGGGCACGACTCAGCAGCCGTCGGGCTTCGTGCAGTCCATGATCAGCGAGCTCGTCATGGGCTCCCAGCCGCAGGCGAGCACGCTCGCGTGGCTCTCCCTGCGCACAAACGCCGAGCGCGCCGCCTTCAGGGGCTGGCAGATGGACGGCTGGGTGCGGTGGCTGGCCGGGCTGCGCGGCGAGTACGAGCGCCGCATGAACCGCGTCTGCCGCATCCTTGACGAGGGCTCCGTCCAGATCAAGCAGTCCACCGCCATCGTGCGCAGCAACAGCAACGGCAGCAGTAGTAGCGACGGCGGCAGCAGCAGCAGGAGCCCGGGCCGGAGGCTCCTGGGCCCCGAGTGGGGCGTCATCACCAAGAAGCCACTGTTCGAGTTTGACTGGCCGCGCGGCGGCATGTTCGTCTGGCTGCGCGTCCTTTTCGAGTCGCACCCGCTCTGGGGTGCGCCCCGCAAAGGTAAACAGGACGAGCCGGCGGCGGGGGTCGTGGACGGGCCCGCGCTCTCGGGCGCCCTGCTGATGCTGCTGACCCGCCGCCCTTACCTCGTCGTCGTGTCGCCGGGCGTCATCTTTTGCGCCGACGCCGACGTGGCCAAGAAGGACGGCTGGGCCTACTACCGCATCTGCTTCGCGGCCGAGGCCGACGAGCGCATCGAGTCGCTCTCGCACGCTTTTGTCGAGGGCGTCCAGCGCTTCTTCAGGATCAAGACCGTCCAGGAGGTCGAGGACCTACTCGAGGACTTCCCGTCCGCCGCCGCCGGCGTGCAGGCGGCGCTCGACGGCGCGGACGAGGCCGCGGGCAACTTGGGCATGTACATGGGGTGCTGAACACGCCGTACCCTACTTAGTTAGAATATGAGGGTATGAGAGTGTGAGGAAGCATCAGGATGTGCCTGCGTGGGCAAGAAGCCCAGATTTTTGTCATTTGGTTCCTTCTCTTGTCCTTGGATGGCGTCGACGGCGTTGATATGATTAATTCGATAGATATGATGTAGGCTCAACATGGCGCTTGAGACCGATTGAGAGTCCAAGACGATCTTGAATCGAACTGGATGGTGTCGTCTGCATACAAGCTGGTCCTGCGTGTTGAACCCACATCGTGAGTTGGGCAGTGTGCCAGTGCGCGGGACGACGTAAGGCCACCCAGTCTGGACGATCATGTGTAGATGCGGGGTTGCTGATTCATCCCGCTTGGGAAATACGATGTCATCAAGCTCGCAAGCCACGAAGGCTAGGATACGTGGGAAAATTATCGTTCTCTAGACGATTTCATTGTGTCACGTTCACTATGAATCAGAAGCACATTTTCCGTAATGACCACTAGACGCCTCGATAAAAGCAACCATGCAATCCCGTTAAGACAAACCCCCGGAGACCCGCCGATAATCTAGTTCTCGTGCAGCTGCTCCTTGAAGCCAGCCGGCAGAGCGTCCGGCTTGCCCTTGAGCTTCTCCTCACCGAGCTTCTCCTTCTTGTAGGCCGCGGCGTACGGGTTGAGGCGGAGCTGAACCTGCTTGTTGCGGAGCGGGTTCTTCTTCTGGACACCATGGCGCTTCGTCCGGGCCTCGCCCTTGGGCGCGCGCAGGACGCTCTGGATTTCGGAGCTGTTGATCAGACGGGTAAGGTCGGACTGGCTGACGACGTTGGACGGGAGCAGGAAGTCCTTCTTGAGCTTCGAGGGGGTGGTGGTGGAGCCGTAGATGTTGTCCAGAGCCTTGAAGGCAGCCGAGGTCCAGACGATGAAGCGACCCAGGTGTCCACCGGGGGCGAGCTGGAGGAGGTTGAGGGAGTACACGGAGCTGGTCTCAACACCGGGGATGTTGCGGAAGCCCTTGACGAGCTCCGTGCCGTCGGTTGCGGGGTCGTAGATGACCAGGGGACCGCGGCGCTGGCGGTACCTGCGGCCTCGGAGCTTGCCCTTACCGGCGCGCAGGGCCCTCGACTTCTTGACCTTCTCAAGGTCGGCACCAGCGCCGACCGTCTTCAGCAGACCCAGAGCAGCCGAGGTCTTGGCCAGAGCAGCCGACTCGCAGACAGCAGAGTCGACAACCAGGGGGACCTCAGGGATAGAGCTGATCCTGTGACCGCGGGCGAGCAGAAGAGGGGCGACAGCCGAGGCGGCGAGGGCCGAGGTGGTGGCGAAGCGCCTGAAAAGAAAGGGTTAGCTCAGCGTTCGGGGTCCATTCCATATCGGCCATGTCCTTCCTGCCTGCGGGAAGCAAATGTCACTTACTTCTGGCCCTGGTTGACCTTGATGTGCCACTTGCGCCAGACCTTGGTGGGAGCGAACATGCGACCGGACCGGCACATGTTACCGAAGGCAGCCTGACCAGCACGGTGGGTACCGCCACCAGAGACACGGGGGATACGGGCGACAGCACGACCTGCGATGGTTGCCGAAGTTAGTTGCCTGGCTTGCAAGAATTGGGCTCCCACCAGCCTCCGCACGATCCATTGCCGATATCTGCTGGGCGAGACGAGTGATATCTGCGACAGCCGTTCCCCGCATGATCCAGACGCTCGCCTCGCCTTGAGCCAATGCGTAATGCCTTCTCTTTCTTCGGCTTCTCGTCGATCCACGGGCCCGGCGTGCAATTCCCAGAGCAGGGGTCCACTAACCAGTTCCCCAGGACTCGGCAGAGGTCTGGTGGCCGGCCTTCTCGCTGACCGAGTACGGCTGGCGCTTGTTCTTGTTCATGCCCTTGTGCACCTGCTGAACAATGTCGGGGCGGATCGGGGCAGTGAAGACACTGGGAATCGGGTGGGTGGCGCCGCTGGCTTTGCCATCGGCGCCGATAATGGAGACGGTCGGTCGTGAAGACATTGTGAATGCTGTGAGAGGGGAAGAGGAAATCGTTAGAACAAAGATGTTGGCAATGAAAAAGAAGGGCGCAGATAATCCGGCCTGCTCGTCGTCGGCGTCGTCGGGGAAAGGTGTTCTCACCTTCGGCTGGTCGTTGGCCTCGAAGAAATTTGGCGATAAAACTTACCTGTGCTGGCTGTCTTCCCAAGCTCAAATTGTGGTGCTTGCACTTTTTTCGTGCCCTCGCTCTACCCTAAGCCTTCACCAACCCCACCCGACAGCTTCCAGATCAGGTGACCAAGCCACTTGGAATTTGGAGCAGACAGCCCATGATTCGACCCTGACCCCTGCCCCTGCGCCTCCCCTGTTGATTGGAGCGACCCCACTCGTGAAAGTCCCGTTGCTGGGCGGACTCAACCCATGTCAACAAAAATAGTCGGCGGCTGCATGCAAGTGGAAAAGCAACGTCAGAGCCACCTACTAGCTACCTTTAGCGATCACATACATACATTCCAGTTTCAGTTGCAGCCGCGATACCATCCCCACCCCTCATCACTGCGCATCGCATCGCTCGAGGTCGCCAGAGGGCGGCGTGAGACACTTCACTTGGTTCATTCCAGCCAGCATTTCCTTACTACTTATCCATCTGCTTTTGCCATATTATTCCTACGACCATGCCTGCCACGCCAACAAACCCGACGCGGTCCGTCCGCTCCTACGCATCCACACCTTCCCTCCGATCGCGCGATGGCCCCAGGATGGACGGAGGAGGAAATGTCCGCGTCGTGGTCCGCGTCAGGGCCTTCCTGCCCCGAGAGCTGGAGCGGGACACCGAGTGCCTCGTCAAGATGGACCCAATCAGCCAGCGAACGACACTGATGGTGCCAATCGAGACCGACCCTGCGAAGCCCAAGTCCCGCAGAGTGACAGAGCAAAAGTCATTCACCTTTGACAACTCGTTCTGGAGTCACGACAGGAGAGATGAGCACTATGCGGAGCAGGCCGATGTTTACAACAGCCTGGGAGAGGAGTTTCTGGACCACAACTTCGAGGGCTACCACACGTGCATCTTTGCCTACGGGCAGACGGGCTCCGGCAAAAGTTACACCATGATGGGCACGCCGGACCAGCCGGGTCTGATCCCTCGCACTTGCGAAGATTTGTTCCAGCGCATCGAGGAGGCACAAACGGAGTCGCCCAACATCAGCTACAACGTCAGAGTGTCGTACTTTGAGGTCTACAACGAACACGTTCGCGACCTGCTCATGCCTGTCGTGCCAAACCAGGCGCCCTACTACCTCAAAATCCGCGAGTCTCCAACCGAGGGTCCCTACGTCAAGGACCTGACCGAAGTCCCCGTCCGTAGCATCGACGAGATCCTGCGCTACATGAAGCGTGGTGATACCTCGCGAACAGTCGCCTCCACCAAAATGAACGACACGTCGAGCCGAAGCCACGCGGTCTTCACCATCATGCTCAAACAGATTCACCACGATATGGTGACGGACGAGACAACGGAGCGCAGCTCGCGCATCCGTCTTGTCGACTTGGCAGGCAGCGAGCGTGCCAAGTCGACCGAGGCCACGGGTCAGCGCTTGCGTGAGGGTAGCAACATCAACAAATCGCTGACAACACTGGGCCGCGTCATCGCCGCCCTCGCTGATCCCAAGCACCAGAACGGTGGGAAGAAGAAGCGCGGCGGTGGCGGCGAGGTCGTGCCGTACCGTGATAGCATCCTCACCTGGCTGCTGAAGGACTCTCTGGGTGGCAACTCCAAGACGGCCATGATCGCTTGCATTGCACCCTCAGACTACGACGAGACGCTCTCGACGCTGCGGTACGCGGATCAGGCCAAGCGGATCCGGACACGGGCCGTGGTCAACCAACAGGACAGCATATCCTCGGCTGAGCGTGACGCCCAGATCGAAGCCATGGCGGAGGAGATCAGGCTACTGCAGCTGGATGTTTCGGACTCGCGGCAGCGCGAGAAGGATGCGCGGAACCAGGAGGAGCGCCTCGAAGAGTACCAGCGCCACGTCGCGGCAATGCAGCGTCTCATGGAGGAGCGTAGTCTTGTGGCTGAAGGCAAAATCCGCTCGCTCCAAACTGAGAACGAGGCTCTGCGGCTGCATCTCAAACTTGCTCTCGAGAGCCTCAAGAACCCGATTCCGGCGGTTCCGATCAGCAGGAGCGGCAGCGAATCACGGCGAATCTCTGCGGTGTCTGATCTGCTGGAGGCTGTTGGCAATGAGGACAGGGGCCATCTGAAAAAGCCTGCTGAAGTGGACGAGGTGGACGAGGAGAACGCTGGAAGCGACGGTGGCGCAACCTACTGTGGCGATGACGACGACGACGACTACTCCACGGACGCGTTCGAAAAGGGCGCCGAAGATATGCACGAGGAAATGCAGAACCTGCTACAGGACCTCGGGTACTTCAAGCGCAAGATCCTCGACGACAAGCAACGGTTCTCCTCTCTCGGTCACCAGGATGTCAAGGCGACGGTGTGATCCCAGGCTTGGTTGGCGAGGTTGGTGTCCTCTGTTGCGGTTGGATTCAAGTGTTTCATGCGTTCATGTCATTTCCTGATACTGTCTGGCTTTCCGTCTGCTCTGGGTATGTTCGCGAGGCGTTGGAGTTTCGCAGCGCAGTTTTCAGCTCTCACGTGGAATTCGTTTCTTTTTTTTATAGGATTGCCCATCATCTGGCACAGTGAACAGGATGTCTAAGATAAACTCATTGTTACAGACGAGTAGCATGCCTTCATATTCAATATACCGCACCCGATTTACCGGCTACCTATCTGCAGCCGCTGGCAACATCTCTCTGAGCGCATTGACAAAAGAGCGATAGACATTATATACGAGATGGAATCACCAAGCTCTGGAGGCGTCTCTTGGCCGCCGTGCGGCCTGTGGCTCAGCGCCAGCTTGCCAAGACCCTGTCCTTCTCCAGACGCTTGATATCGCAGGGGGGCGTTGCCAGCCTGTCCACCATTCGCATAAAACGGTGGGGAGGTCCGGTCGCCAATCAATCCAGGAGCCAGCACAGCCCGACACTGCTCAGCCCGCCCGACTCTCAACATCTACAAAGAAAACTGGGGAATCGGCCCAGCCATGTCTTGAACTCGATAGATTTCTTACGGGTAGATGGTCACGCTCTGGGCCTCGGGAAATATGTACACTCTCACGGCCCCCGATTCTGTCTCCAATGACAGGCTGGGATGCGACGTGGACCAACAGGGATACATATGAGCTGACCCAGTCACCTGCATACGGGCCTGCCTTGCGGCTCGTGGCCTGAAGGGCCATAAATACCCCCAGGTTCATTTGGTAGGTACAAGTTCATTCCCCGCATTTCGAAATGCCTCTTTATCATCGCCATCATGCCACCACAGCCCAAAAACGGCACAGCCTGCAAAGGCTGCCCTCACCTTGAGGTTCATAAGTGGTCCAAAGGTTTGCTTGGTCTTTTCGAGCCCCTGGAAAATGACCTGTGGAGACGTGGTTAGGATGCCGTGCTGACTCTTGCCAAAAGGCACAAGGGCCGCCGTTGAGACGTTGCCTACTCGGGATATTCAGAATATCTTTTCGACTGGGGACTGGGAAGTCGTCATAATGTTTGTGCCAAGACACTATGCAGCCGCCTCGGTTGTTTGGCTCTTGCCGGCGCTATGCTTGCGCTAACAACGCTCTTTTGAAGTTTCACTTCCGCCAACTCAATCACAACCAAAGACTGCTCCGAGTGCCGCAACCTTCTCAGCAGCACATTTGCCATACCAAAGATATGGTGGGCGGAATGCTACCGGAAAGCCATTGGCTATTTCGGCAGGGAGGATTCTGTAAGCTCTGAAGGAAGGCTAACAGGCATCAGTGAGTTGCTTTATTTCATAGTCGAGCCTTATCCACGCAACCTTGGGGTACAAGAGAAATCACTAACACGTTAGTGCAACAGGCACATGGTCACGCTTCACGATGAAGATGCTGGAACGAGATAAATTGGGAAACATAATATATCACTGGCGCAAATTCAACCTTTGCACCAGGTGGCTACCCAACGGCCGCCAGGCCATCATTGCCTTTGATCCACGCCCCGAGGTCAAGGAGGCCGTATCCGGGCTCTTGGAAGGGCTTGACGCCCAACTATTGCAAGACCCCTTTTGGATATTCATAGTGGTCGGGCAGGAGGTCCTTGACTCGCAGCACAAGGCGATATGGGGCATGAGAGGGCTCGTGAGGGACACGGAGAAAAAGAGGGAGAGGGACAACCAGACGCCGATGGACTTCCCGAAGCTGCACGACCTCGCGAGACACGCGATACACATATCCGAGACTATGGATCTCTGCGCGCTCTCGATGGACGAGATAATCTCGCACCAGAAGCAATTCTGGGCCGCGCGTCACAGGGGAGGCGGAAGCGCAAGGGTAGGCGACGCAGCGAGGAGCGGAGACGCCGCCGCCGCCGCCGCCACCACCAAGACCCAGCCGAGAGACGGCAACGGTGATGACGACGAAGGAAACCCCCAGGACCTGCCGCCGCCGCCGGCAGCGCGTCAGGTGCGGCACCGGCTGCAGTTCCACCACAACGCGCTGCGCAGCATGCTGCTGCGGGCGGCGGCGAACCGGGAGCGGCTCCAGAACGAGATCGGGCTGGCGTTCAACACGGTGGCGCAGCGCGACGCGCGCACGTCGGTCGACATCAGCCGGGCCACGCGCGAGGACGGCATGGCCATGAAGACGCTCGCGCTCGTGACCGTGGCCTTTCTGCCCGCCACCTTCATCTGCGCCGTCTTCAGCATGTCCTTCTTCAACTTCAGCCCGGACTCGGGCCGCTGGGTCGTCTCGGACATGTTCTGGGTCTACTGGGCCGTGACCGTGCCCGTGACCGTGTGCACTGCGCTGTTCTTCATGTGGTGGAGCAGGCCCAAGCCAAAGTTGGTGGATGGCAAGGTCAGGGCCGGGACCGTTTCCGCATGGGTCGACAATTCCCTGGCTACGCTTGGGCTGGCAAGGGTTCAGAGAGGAGATACAGACCTGAGTCGTAGCTCCTGAGGCAAGGCTGTGGTCGATACCAGATTGCAAAAAGGTGTTCCTGTGATCAGATGTCTATCAAGTATTGAGAGGATGGCCTTATCAACACGCCAGCAAATCGAGAAGTCTTTCAGGTTAACCAACCAACACTTATCTGTCTACTCATGGCCCCGTAGATCAGTACCACGAATTTGACTCTGCATTCACCGCAGCAGTCACCTCGCCTACTTTTGACTGTTGTACGAGCTCCGGCAAGGAAAGAGTGCTCTGCCGGTTGTATCCGCGTGGAATGGCCAGTTACAGTATTTATATACCACTCTAGCTACAAGATACCGTACGAGGAAGCCTTCCCAACTCACAGCAACAAGCCGCCGATGGGATCGAAAGCGGCCTGGAATCAGATCTGCGGGAGATGGGGGGAGTCGACGCGGTGGGGCCTTTTCGAGGGACTGCCTAGCCACTGATAGAACCTCGGCCGCGCAAACCCTAGATGGGAATCCAAATGCCTCGGCCAGATCTTCCGACAAACCTGAAGACGCAATATTGTGGATGGTGAACGGTGCTACGGTCCGCTTTGCCTCGATGAAACGCTGCCGCTTACGATTGACGAAATGTAAGATACATCAAGTAACTGGTAGATGAAAGTTTATGATCATCTGAAACCAGCGAACAATAATCCGATCCCTTCAAGTAAGGGGCGTAAAAAAGATGCCACAGCTGCGTGTCCAATATAGCTAGATAGCAGACTAACCTCGGTGTCAGCTAAAGACGTGTCCTTGCCAAAACTTAACCTAAAATTGGAGTCGTTGGTAGTTCCCCGAGGCAATCGCACTAGATTCTTGTGTCTATGCGAAGATATGCTTGAGGTTGTCCCATGATCGCCCAAAATCATGGTCCGCGTTCCTTCAACATGCACCAAAAAAGAAAGCGCCATCAGCCCAACACTCATGAGTGACCTGGAGCATATGGACTCCCGCCCAGTCAGCATTGGCATGGTCTAATGATGCGGGTGATCCGGACCGAGGGAGACACCCGGATGGCCCCCCACTTTCCCAAACGAGACAGTCGCCGTGGCTATGATTGGCCTGCCCTCGACTCGTCTGAAATTCAATCCAGAACCAACTCCCCAAACGTTGGTTCGGTAGCGCATTTTACTAGCTCGAGCCCCCGGGCTCCCAGATGTTGTTGAGGGGGGGCTCAATTACTAGTAATCTCACATGGAAACGTTGGGCCTGTCTTGACATGTTCGGATAGGTCGGCATCTAATGCGTGAGAGTGAGAGCTGGTAGAGCCAACCCCCTCGCGACCCAGATCTGCCCGGCACAGCCGTGTCATTCATCCTGCTCCCGGGTCCCTCCGCCACTATCCTGCGTAGCACCGAGCCATGTCCTTACTAACGACGGATACGGGGGGGATGCGGGGGGTCTGAGTTCACCGGAGCCATCCCCCCGCCCGCAGGGCTTACTGTATATGTGACGCCCACTACACCCTCCCTTGTCGGCGTTTGCGAGTTGGTGAGGATCAGACGCGGCACGGGCTCGTTTGCCGATCCCAGGGATCAATCCTCAGACTCTTGGAGGAATAAAGTGACACGGGCGAGCTAGGTACGGGTCACTCAACCAACCACTCGGCTGGCGGACTCGATCGGGTGAGTGGGTGAAGGGGGAGGAATAGCATTGAGGCATATAGGGTGAGAAGACGCGGCCGGGTGAGTCAGGAGCAGGCACATTCCCGTGCGTCGATCGCGGCAGCTCGATCGGCCTGAGGGATGGAACGTCGCAAGCGAAGCCACATGGCGGGAAGAAGGGGGCCATCACGCACTAGGCAAGACCGGAAGTGACGGGCGGGAGGATCGCCATTCCTTTGAGAGAGAAAAGCCATATTGATACAAAGGAAGAGACGAAGAGCGCTTGGCGGAGAGCGGCCCTAGCCTAAGCTAAGACAAGAGTTTGTGTGTTTGAAAGAGGCGGGGGCCGTCAAGAGGTCCACCAGCGGTATCAGTATCCATGCGACCGTTTTTTGCCCCTTACTTGGGACTGCTTACTTATTTTATTTTTCCTTGGGTCTATTTTCTGCGCCTTGCCTTGCCTACTTCGTCGCCACCACCGCAATGGCCACCGCCACCAGTGTGTCCAGGCCTTCCACCCAACTGGAAATCGGGATGGATAGATGGAAATCGCAATCGTGTCATTATCCATGCCATTCTATTCCAGCGTCGTGCCGACTCAGCTCAAGTCGGGAGACTCGTCCGGAACAGACGAACTGGCTTACATTTGTCCGCCTGTGGTTGCGAACTTGTTGCCTGGGTTCAGATGGACCCGCAGTTTGTCCGATCCCGGCCTGTGTTTCCATTTCAGGGCCGTCCTAGCCCCCCACCCTAGTCACTTTGCGTCGGGAAAACTCGGAAGTCGACTGGGGTGAGATGCAGGCCCATTATCTAGCTGAAGTCGATTACAAAGTAGCAACCTCCAAGTGCGAGGAGCATGATCTTGGGCTTGTTTCTGGTGTCCTTTGCTTGCATTCTTTTCTCTCAGCAGTCTCATGTGTGCGTCGTGTCACATGGTCCTACGCCGACCGGGTTGCCAGTAGCTCGTCCGCTAGCGCTGTCAAGAGTCGGGTGCTAGCGTCAGTCCAACCGGCGGCGGCCTGGGGAATGGGGAAGCACGCGCGCGCGCGTCGGCAATGGCAGGGCGGTGGACCGTCAGCCTAGACCGGAACCCCCCGCAAAAGTTGCTGTCGGTCAGCTGGCTGGCGTGTGCCTCGCAAGCGGGCGTGGGCCAAAAGTGGAGGATGGTGGAGGCTACGACTGAGACGGTACGGGACGCCATGGCTGGATGCACAAGCACACGCACGAGCTCCAGCGGACCCGATCAAGTGGGATGGCAGCCAAGGCAATGTGGAAACCGCCGTGGAGGCAAATCTCAATCTAGGAAACTCCGATTGGCCAGGGCGGCGAATCGGGAATCAACACTCATGGGCGGCTGGAGACACTCGACATGGCGATGTGCCTCCTCCGACCCCCTGTTTCAACAGATTTCCCCCCTTGTTGCCGCTGGTGCCTGATGGTCATTATTTTCTTATTTTTAATTTCAGGCTTTCCAGAATATCGGCTTGCGGCCCCATTGTCCTAATTACGTACACGGGATGCAGGCCAGAGGGGCCAGCACAAAACGGCGTGGCCCTCGGACCGAACTAGTGCTCGAAGCAGCAACAGCACGCGTGCGTACCCTGGCGCATGTTGAGGTGGTGACAGGACATTGGCGGCGCACACTCGGAGTGCGAGGGACCGCTCTTCGCGCCCTCCCAACATTTCTAATGTCGTTCTTCCGGGTTGGGATCGGGGATGTACGTCTGACAGCCCTGTAGCTTAGAACTAGGCCTGCCTACGCTGGACGATCCGTCCGATTCGAGCCGAGGGTGAGGTTTAGCACATTGAACTCGTATCGGAACTCGACCTCTGGCAGTAGCAGGGCTCCCACGGAGCTCCGAGTCCGGGGGCAAGCAAACTGTTGTGTTTTTGTCCTTTTGATTTTGTTTCCCTCACCCTGGCCGGCGGCTGTGGGCGCGACCAGACGGATCCCGGACGCCGCCCACAACATCCGTTCGTTTACGTACAGGCCCATGGCAGGCTCGACCCTCATTTGCCTTCACCGAGTCGGTCCACTGGCAATTTTGCACACCTAGTAAAGAAGCGTCCAAAGTAGGAAGCCATATCCACAGAGGGACGGGCGGCGTGCGTGGCCCCGATGTGGCGGGAAGCGACGACACAGCGTGACGCAATAAGAAAAAGAATCGGGGAAGGCGGACCCCGGCAGGGGCCTCCGTGATGGAGCGCCGAGCAGGGGCGGGTAGCATCAGGCTAGGCTGGGCCCAGAGAAAGAAGTTTCCAGAACATTGAATTTTATTTGGTGCAGTGCCAATACGACCGTCAGTAAGTACCTTTTTTTTCTTCCAGCAACAAGCCACACGCCCACGAACGCGGTGGCCACCACAAGCTGTCAACAAAGAATAATGCCGGCGATCCGGCGATCCGGCCAGCAGCTCGCTTCGTTCGCCGGCGCGTGCATACGCCGTGGGAGTACGTACCCTGAGCCGTAGTGGTGGTGGCCGTCGTGATAGTGGGTGCGGATCGTGGTGGCTGCTGCCAGGACTCGCGGGAAAAGTCGCGTTGCTCCGTCCAGGCTGCAGTCTCCTTGGGGCTGCACAGGTTTCTGGTGGGGTGAAACACTGGACGAAACTTGGCGAGCGAGCAGGGCCTTGTCAGAGGACACCCCCATCAAAATTTCCCTTGCTCGCGGGGGCCGAGCGACGCCCCCCCCGGCTAGCTGCGACCCTTGGCTCGGGGCCAACCCTGACGATGCAGCTGGCAGCAGCAGCGGTTTGGCGGGCAGCGGGCCAAAAAGTCTTAAAGAGGATAAACTCTCGCGTCGTCGGGCGCTTTCCCACGCCTCGATGTTCGACGGCAACAGCAGACTCAGGCTCAGTCTCAGGCTCTAGCAGCATAGTACCAGAACCCTCGGAAGCTAATCTGGGTATTAGCGCACCACCCCCACCTCCACACCAACCACATCTGCCACGGCGCCTGCACTCCAACACCGCTCCGGCCGCCGCCCAACAGAAGCCCGCCCTTGAAAAGAACGGTCGTGCTGCACCTCAATCTCCGATCCGCCCCGATCGCACCACTCTCGCCGGTTGGTCAGCTGCTGCGCTGCATGCAATGGTCCCAATGGCCTCGTATGCCTACAGCACCTCATCATCAGACGTCTCAACCCCCCGATCCGCATCCCCATCCTCGGCCGGCTCAGGTCGCTCAGCCTCCTCCCGCACCTCTATATCTAATCGCATGTCCATTTCCTCCGCCCGGAGAATGTCTGCCATGAACCCCCTCTCCACCGTCGACCTCTCCGCCATCGAGGAGGGTATTCGCGTAGCCAGCCTCGACCAGCTCCGTGGGTACTCACAAAACAAGTTCGCCGGAGAGGTTCGCCAGATCCGCACCACGGAATACCTTCCAATGTCTCAAGCCGCCGGCTACCAGGTTCTGAGGGAACCGGTCTGGAACAAGGGTGAGCCTCTTCTTTGCCTCGCTTTCACCTCCCGCAGACCAGACCAGTTACTGACCCGCCGCCCCGTCTTCGCCCCAATCTCTAGGCCTGTCCTTTGCTCCCGAGGACCGCGTTGCCAAGAACCTCACTGGACTCATCCCGCACGTCATGGAGAGCCCGCAAACCCAGTGCGAGCGCGCCATGAAGATGATCCGCACCAGGTCAACCCCCATCGACAAGTACCTGTACCTGTCGTCCCTCAAGGACCAGAACGTCGACCTCTTTTTCCGCCTGCTCATGGACAACGTCCGCGAGCTGATGCCCCTGGTCTACACCCCAACCATTGGCGATGTCTGCCTGCAGTACTCGAGCCTGTACACCAGGCCCGAGGCCCTGTACATCTCGATCAAGCAGCGCCGCTCCATCAAGACCATTCTGTCCAACTGGCCCTACCCCAGGCCCGAGATCTGTGTCGTCACCGACGGCTCGCGTATCCTGGGTCTCGGTGACCTAGGCATTAACGGCGTTGGCATTCCCGTACGTCCAAGATGCATCCACGTGATCATGCCCTTAATGCGAACCAGACGCATGCGCAGCGCCGAACACTAACGTGGACCCACACAACGTGCAGATTGGCAAGCTTTCACTCTACACTGCGGCTGCCGGCATTGACCCGTCCAAGACGCTTCCCATTGTCCTGGACACGGGCACCAACAATGAGGAGAACCTGAAGGATCCCCTCTACCTGGGCCTGCGCTCCAAGCGCCCAGCGTTCGAGGCGGAGCAGGCTTTCATGGACGAGTTCATGCAGGCCGTCAAGGAGGTGTACCCCGACATGGTGGTTCAGTTTGAGGACTTCCAGAGCGAGAAGGCCTTCGACTACCTTGACCGCTACCGCACCACCAAGTACAACGCTGCCTTCAACGACGACATCCAGGGAACTGGTGCCGTCGTCCTGGCTGGCTACATCAACGCCGTCAAGCTGTCTGGTGTCCCTATTGAGGAGCAGCGTCTTGTCTTCATGGGCGCTGGTTCGGCCGGTGTTGGTGTCGCCAAGCAGGTGATGGAGTACTACACCAGGCGGGGCATGTCGGAGCAGGAGGCCAAGGACAAGTTCTTCCTGGTCGACAGCCGCGGTCTGGTCACGGCGGACCGAGGTGACAAGCTCGCGGCCCACAAGGTCTACTTCGCCCGTAGGGACAACAGTGGCCACCAGTTCCAGACCCTGGAGCAGGTCATCGAATACGTCAAGCCGAGCGCTCTGATCGGACTCACGGCCACCTTTGGCGTCTTCACCGAATCGATTGTCCGTGGCCTCAAGGCCTCGGTTGAGTCCGGCGGCCGCGGCAGGAGACCCATCCTGTTCCCGCTCAGCAACCCCTTGACCAAGGCCGAGTGCACCTTCGAGCAGGCCGTCAATTGGACTGACGGAACCGTCGTCTTCGCCTCGGGCTCGCCCTTCGCTCCCTACACGGTCAAGAACGGCGACCAGCCAATCACGTACCTGCCCAACCAGGGCAACAACGTCTATGTCTTCCCCGGCATCGGTCTCGGTGCTATCCTGGCCAAGGTGTCGCAGGTGACGGACGACATGATCTACACGTCGGCCGAGGCGCTCTCCAACTGCCTCAACGCCGAGGAGATCCATAAGGGCCTGATCTACCCTCGCATTGAGCGTGTTCAGCGTGCCAGTCTGATTGTGGCCCGCGAGGTCATGAAGACTGCCCGCCGCAACGGTGTCAGCAAGCTGCCCGAAGCACAATGGAACGAGTGGGAGGAGTGGGGTGACGTCTCCCTGGACAAGTACATCCTCCAGAGGACATACAAGCCGTTTGAGAACTAAGGGGGTAACATTTGCTTGTTGCTCTCTGATCTAGTCTCATTCCACCGACTTGCTTCGGAGCAGTCCTCCCTTCCTACGAAATATGGCGGTGCAAAAGCAAAAGGGAAACCCCGATAATGAGGCGATATGCCAGGAAGAAAATTGGAAGGGGGCGATAATCATACCCTAGGCGGCGTTTGAAATGGTGCTTTTCTTTCCCCTTTTTTTTTCGTTGCAAATCTCTGCCTTGGGGTGGCAGCCGCACTCCCACGAAACCTTTACCAGCCATAACCGTTGCTTAGACTTCTACCTTAGATGATTCCCCCCTGCGGACGCTAGCTCGTCCCAGCTCATATCTACCACTTTTAACTTGACAACATTGGTAATCTGCCGCATTGTTCTCGTGCTTTGATGTTGAATTTGTTTGCTCCCAGTCAGAGCTTCAGCCTGTTTATGCTTGATGGTATCAGTTGATCTTGCTGCTCGAGGAGGGACATGTCTGGGCTGGGTGGCAGTTGTAGATGGATACCTATGGGATACGTCCTGGGTTGCCCGCTCACTTGAGGCTTTCAAACAAGCAATATTTCCGACGATCGGGCATGGGAGAGTGAATAATGCACAACCGTGCTAACATCTTTACCCTCCCTAAGATTTCTCGAACGTCGGCCCAATCGATATTATAAGTGTTTCCACTTCCTCTCTCCTCAACACTGTAGCATGTCGCAAGATGGCACTGTCGTTCTTATCTTGCCCAAAGCACCAGTTCGACAGATGTTTGAGCTGGCTGACGACGAGAGAGTTTGGGATGGTCACCGCGGGATCGTTGGAGGCGTAGGTCCTGCAGATCCAACCGAGGCATTTCCCGGCCTTTTGGTTGAAGCAGTCGCCCTTCGCCAAGAGGATGGGCACATCGCCGCGGTCGGCCCATTTCTGGATGACTGCCTGGGCGTCTCGCAACGAGAAGGTCCACCGAGGGTCAGAGTACACCTGTTGATCGCTCAGGGGTTTAGTCGGGCCGGCTGTGATCTGCCTAGCTTGGGCGGGGCGACCACCAGACGGACATACCGCACACTCATACTCATCGCCTGCCTTCTGCATCCGGGCAGTGTTCACGAAAGGGGACCGGCCCATGTCCCTAGTTCCGGTGGGCTCGGCGGCGGCGGCGGCGAGGCCGACGGCGCCGAGACAGGCGAAGATGGTGTTGGTCCGCATGGGAGTAAGGTGGCAGATGCGCCCTAGAACTTTCCGTGGGGGTGGAAGGTATCGAAGTTCTGACGGCGGCCGGCAAGAGCTTGAGGATGGGAGGCAGTGCCGCCTTAGCTTGCTTTATACCAACGTGGGCGCCTACCTATTGGTAGGTACCTACTGTACCGCTGAGCCGCAATGAATTCGCCAAGGGTGCTCCGAGGGATGTAAGCATTAAATCTCAGTCTGGGCGTGGCGCGACTTTGGAATTGGCAGAAACATCAGTCCGAGGCAGTCAAGTATCGGGATCATCAGGTAAAGGCTCGGCATTGGGATGCGGCAGGAAGAGCGGGCGCACCCATCCAATGAGTCTCAGCAAGGCCGGAACAAGAAGGTGCTGAAAGGGCTCGTTCAATTCCAGCAAAGGGCCCAGACTCTTCACTCTTCACCCTAGATCAAGCTGGTAGATCAACAAAGCGTCAAACCTAAACAACCCATTGTTTCTTTCTCCATAAAGCCTTTTTGCTACCCGGGGTTCTTTGTGTTTTACAAAGTGCTCCTGGGCAGATGGGGGTTATATACGTACTCCACATCAGGAAAGCGCGACTTCCACGCGCGGCGAGGTTGAATCACTCAAAATCCAAAGTCATCGACGACAGTCTCTTCAACCAAACAACCAACAGCCCACATTCTGAGCGTACCATCAGTTCATCAAGCAATCAAGGAATTACTTGATTTCTGCCCTTCCCTCGTGTCGGCTGGCACGCGCGTGTGCGTGTGCTGGTGAGAGGTTTCACCAAGCGCACAAACCAGCACACCACCAACGGGAAGTCGTCAATCCTCGAGAAGAGACGGGGTAGTACTGACCGGGCCTGACTGTCGACGCATCTGTCCAGACGACGAGGAAGAAAAGCGGCAGGAGCAAGGAGCAAGCACCTCCTCCCTCTTGGCCGGCAAGACGACCAGAACCAGAGCCAGAGCCAGATAGGGGAGGCCGGACAGTTCCGCTCCTTCCCAAGTTGGCTGTGCTCGCTCTCACTTTGCTCTGATCTTGACCTCACTTCACGGCTAGAAACAGAGAAGCAGGAAGAACAGCGACCGGCACACCTACACGTCATTCACCCCAGTGCCCGCCCAATCTTTCCTTCCTTCCCTCTCCATCCCGCCTCAGAACTCGCACCAAACACAAACAGCAAACACAGCCAAGAGTCCAACAACCCCCTGCACAAGAAAACGAGACCAAAAGTCGAGCCGAGAAAAACGACTACAAAGCCAGAAACCCCATCGCAGCCAGCCATGGCACCAGGAGGAGGCAGGCCCGGCGCGGACTGGACGGCCGCCTACATCATCATCGGCGTCGGCATCCCGGTCGGCTGGGCCGCCGCCGTGGCCCTCGCCGTCGTGCTCGAGCGCCGCACCGCCCGCCGGGGCGCCAGCCAGATCGCCGCCGCCACCATCGCCACCCTCTCCGACCTACGCACCTACCACCACTGGGATAGGGACCCCGAGGC